GCGGATGACGGACTAGCCGAAAAAGCCATTGACAATATTCATAAAATAGCCGTTAACGAACGGGCTATTTACCGCTCCATAAATGGAAAATGACAAGATAATTTAATTACTCCCCAACAACGACGAGATATTTTTTATTGTTCGCAGTTAGATGATGATATTGAGGAGACAAAACAGACTTGGCGGTTATTAAGTTATATTGAAGAGGCTCTCTCTCTCTCTCTCTCTCTCTCTCTCTCAATATGGCGAAAACCTAGATAAAGAAATAGCCAGAGTTAAGGAATTAATTCAAAAAACCGAATATCAAAACAGCCAAAAAATAATAAACGAAGTAGCCGGTGATTTGGCGAAGAAAGCAGTAGTTAAATTAGAATTACTGGGTTGAGCGGATATTGATACTAAATTAGATAAGGAAAAATTACCGGACTATTATTCTCACTACCAGCAATTAGACGACCAGTTAAAACGACCGGGTACGGGTGCCATAAAAAATTGGTGCTTGCAAAATATTTATGGGGAAGGCTGACAAGAGGAATTTAATATTCGCTACCAAAAACTTCAAGCGTGGAAATTGTTGGATGACTACCAAAAAGAAAGTTGATGGAGCAATTTATCAGAGTTAGAAAATCTGGAAAACCAAGCCAAAAAAGCGGAAATCAAAACTCGGTTGGAAAGGTTTACAAAAGAACAAATAAATTGAGCCCAAGAAAAAGCCGAAATAGCAGCCGAGAAAATGGCGGCTTTCCAAGCAGCGGTCGGTCTGAGAAAGGAATTATCCGTCTTGCTAACCGAAGCCGAAGCGGAAAATGATTATGAGAAACTAAGTAAAATATGAAATGATGGAATTTGTTGATATAATGAAGGCGGTCGCCAGATTACGGGTGATGATAACGAAAGGATCGTGAAAGTTTATCATAAATTATTAGATTTAAAATTGGATTGACTTTTCAACCAAGCAGAAAGTGAAAACGAGGTGGGGAAATTGGAAAATTATCAGCAGAAAATTAAGCAATTTCAGGATGAATTTTTTGGACCAGACGAAACCATGCTTTCCGCAGTTTGGAAAAAAAAGAATGAAGGATATGTGCCGGCTTCGTCTTTTGTTACAAGCAAAAAAGGCATTTTGGATGAAAAATTAGACGAATTGAAGCAAAAAATTGACAACCAAAAAAATTGAGAACAATCGGCCAATGCGTCGTTGCCAGAGTTGGAAAGAAAAGCCCAGCAGGATGTTTGGACGGATGAGGAATTGACCGCTTTGGAGAAAGAAATTACGGAATTTCCACCTTATATTGAAAAGCAACCTGAACCAGAATATTATCGTGGTTTCCAAGTCAATTATCAGAACCAAAAATCCATTAATCAACGATTAGAAAGAGCCAAAGAAGGCGCCAAGAAAAATGCGGATGATTACAAAAAAACAATTAAAGATATAGATGCTATTTTAAACAAAAATATCAAGCAGGAATATATAATTACGGCTTTTCGGGGTGATAGCATTCCTGATTCAAATTGAGATTTAGAAAAACTGCAAACCGATATTGATTTTTTAACTGGTTGAAACAAAACAGAAAATTTAACACCACTTCAACAAAAAGTTAAACAAGTCAAAGGTGCTGACATTACTGAACGCTTACTGGCCTTAGAAAAAAAGAAATATTTGGCTGAAAATGAGAAAGAATTGAATGAGTATGAAAAAGAAAATGTTAAAAGCACAAAAGATTTCGCTGGTTTAAAAAAGGTTATTAGAGAGTGAAAAGAAAAAGTTTTGCCGGGTCGAGATAAAGAACTACGCGGAGAATGAGAAAAGCATTTTTACAAAAAGGAAAACAAAAAACTTTACTGAAACGGCGAAAAGTTAAGGCAGGATGATTTAAAAATTTTAGTCGCTAATAATTGAGATAGATATTTTACCACTGCGGACAAATTGAAGGAATTAAAAAGTGGTTTTAATTTAGATTACCAATCGGAGACGGGTCGCAAGCAAAAAATTAAGTGTTTAGGCACGGATTATGACGGCTTGGATTTAATTTTAGAACAGCAAGCCGTTTTGGAAAAAAACTTTAATAATGAAAAATGAAATCCAATTCTGGTTGAGGAAGAAAGAAATTTCCTTAACTCTTTCAACACGGCCAAAAAGACCCAAAGCGCTTGTGAATTACTAACTATTTGTCGTCAGACCCGAGGAACCTGAGGCAAAAATATTGCTCTAACAACCAGTTTAGAGGAGGCCGATATTAAGAACTTTAACCAGGCTAATTACGATAAACTTAATTTGTTTGCCGATGCGGAGGCCGGGAGCGACCAACAAATTGTCTGAAAGTCTTGTAATGATATGTTGGGAGGAATAGCCGCCCAAATTTTAACTAAATACAAAGGTTTGCAAACCTGAGATAATTTTTTTGCCGAGCATGGTATTAAGGACAACAAAGACAAGGCGAAGTGAAAAAGCCCGTCCGGTGGTCTGGACGAAGCAAAAAAAGTTTATGAGAATGCTTGCCAAAACGATGCTGATGGAGTAGTTTGGGAAAGAGGGCTTGACGACGAGGAAAAAAATCAGATTAAGAAAGCCAAAACCCCCGACCAAGTTAAGCAAGAGCAAGAAAATATTGCTTGACAGCGTTTTTTTGTGGCCCGGAATATTACCGATAAAAATGAGAAAGAGGCATGACGAATTACTAGTGGCTTAACTTTGGCCGAAGCCATAACCGCTTATGACACGAGAGGCTGACGAAATTTGAGTGATAAAAACATTTGTGCTGATTTAAGAGAAAAGAAAGTGAAATATATTTCAAAATTTCGTGGTGGGGGTACAATATCAACGCAAGACGTCCAACTAGTTAATCATAGCCCCGGCGAAATGGATAAATTTCACCAGTTATATATAGATATTGAGACGGCCACTAGTTTAACTGATTTGCGTAGTATAGACATTGAAGTTTACGACCAAGAACAGGTTCCTAATCTGGGTAAATGGGACAGGATGAAAGTTAGAAAAGATAATAAGGAATTAGCCTTGTTTGAAACGGCTTTTGAAGGGGCCGGAGCCGGACCGAGCGGTCTTGACAACGAGCAAATTAAGAAATGATTAACTGCTGACACTGGTTTAGCCAAAGACGGAGTAGAGGAAAGAAAAGTTTATGATAATGGCTGGACGGAACCAGACGAGATTGATAAGCCGGATGGCTTTTTCAGCATTTACCCACACGTAAATTATCAAATCCCGAGCACCGAGACTTTAAAGGATATTTGGATTAAGGCAGAGGTGAAAAAAGTTAAAAAAGAGGAATTAGATAAGGTTAAAAAGTTATTAGATGACATTAGACGGGAAAATTCAGCCAGCAATTTACCCGCTAATTATGCTGATTTTCAGGCCGGAATTATAGAAAATTTACCCGACGACCATACTCTCCCGGAAGATTATCGAAAATCTAAAATAATAGCACTTTATCAAGATTATCGTGGCTGAGTAGTAGATAATGAATTTATTAGAGATTTCAAGAATGTTGGCGGTGCGGCTGATACTTTTGTCGGAAGCAACATTTTTCAGCCCGACGTCAGAAAAAAGGTTCTGGCTTACCGAAAACAAGTTCCTGATATATTTGGCGAACGAGAAATCACCGGAGCCGAGGCCGGCCAAATCTATAATAATGGCTGGGACCCTGCGGAAATTGATATTGATTTCATTGAGGGAATTACCGCTAGTTATGAGGGCCGAGATGATTGGAACCCACTAATTACTACTAAACAGGAGGCGAATAAAAAAATATGAGTTCAGAAATTCAAAAATGGTGCTAGTCTATCATTAACCGACCAGCAAATATTAGAGTATCTAAAATTATGTCCTAGTTCTGATAGTGGTTTATTCCTAATGTTTATTCCTCCCCAAGAGGCTCGTCGGGTTCATGATAACCACTGAGCCGCCGACCAGTTTACTGGTTCTTATACGATTTCTTTCGGTGCTCCTATTATCTGAAAAGCCACGATTAATACTTATTCTTCATACGGACAAACCGACCAGGATTTAGATGCGTTAACCATTGATAGAGAGGAATTAGATAAAGTTAATTCTATAATAAAACAAATAAATGATGCTAAAAGTTTAAGTGATTTACCGGCCGAGACAGATATTAATATAATGAAATATGAAGAAAAGAAAGTTCCAGCAACGAAAAATTATGCGGCTATTAAAAACCAAATAAAGGACAAAAAAGCCCAATTAGACCAAGATGCGGCCGACCTAACCGCTCGCCACGATGCTATTCAAGCGGTTAAAGATTATTGAAAAGCCCTGAAAATGACCGGCCAAGTTGCGGATGTCTGCGGTAAAAATTGGGAAAATAATTTCTCTAATTTAAAAGGAAATAATATTAAGGTGGAGAAAAATCGTCTTATCTCTCTCATTAATGAAGCCAAAATTAAACCTGACATTACCGAAATTGAGGCAGAATTGAATAAAAAACCTGTCGTTTCCAGCAGCGAACTTAAAAACTCGGATTATCAAACAGAAATGATTAATTTGGATGATAGCCAACGAGCGACCCAAAAACAAGAAATAATTAAGGAAATTAACCAGATTAGAGAAAATAAATTAGAAAAAGTTCGGCAAATAATCACCCAAGCACAAAATATTTTCAATAAAGATGCTGCTACTAAGAAAGAATTGGAGCAAGTTATTAATGATTTAAATACTTTGGCTAATGCTCCCAGTGATAGTGCCGAAAAAATAATTTGGACGGAAAAAGAAACCGAAAATAAAAAATTATTAACTGATTTGGAAGCCAAGTTAAACACTAATTTTCCTCCCGAACCGGAAAAAGAAGAACCGAATGAAAAACCGGAAATTCCCGCTCCCCTAACACCGCAAGAAGAAGCCGAAAAATATGGATCAGATTTTGCTAATTTAAAACCTACTCAGCAAGAGGGACGAAAAAAGATTGTAGAAAACTGAAAAAAAGAAGCCAATTATGACCGTTGTAAAACTTGCCGTTATTGTCCCCAAGAGTTTCATTACGATAGAAGTTTAGAATTTCTGGCTAGCCAAAAGAAAGT